CCCCCCCCAACTAACAATGTCATTGTTTATCTTTTCCAATTTAGTTATGGTTCTTCATTCTTTATAGAACATAGCATGTACTTTGATTGATTTGTCAAATGATTTAAAAAACACACAAAAGAAAGCAAAAAAGGCAGAATAACATGCACGATTACACTTTTACGAACATCAAGACTCTATTATATTTATATTGTATATTTGGCAATGTTGTTTCTCTTGAAAACAAAATATCCCGAAGTACTTCCGGGTCACCTACTTTTTGCCCTGTCTGTGGTGATGTGTTTATGTAGGATACCCTTTCTGTAACCTTCTTCTACTTTCATTACAAGGCTGTTGCGTGTTGATCGAATTCTTTGGTCCACTTGGCGGCTGGCTGTCTTAGTTTGTTTGTTGATTGCTGAATTTGTTAAAAATAGTGCTTTGTTTTTGGACTGAAAATCACTGAAGATGGTAAGTAACTAACTCACTCAATGAAACTGGCCTGATTACCTGACTACTGACTGTAAACAACGACGGGGGCGGGGGTGGGTAATATATCGACGTGACCACCAACTTAGTACTTACCAAGTACCAAGCCCAAGGCAAGGTTCACGTTAGAATCTTGGGCTGCTAGATCTAGATCTAGATCTAGAATCTAATATAGATCTTTACTGCAAAGTGAGGTAAATTTTTACTTTCACTCCCGCACACAGATGCACTGTTTCAGGCTCAGGCCCAGGGCAGGGGTCAAACTGCTGTACTGTTTGCTGCATATCACACATAAAGCCACTAAAACTGTCGCAAATCAATTATTTTCAAGACAATTTCAAATCTAACTGTAAAATATCAAATTATGGGTAACAACAGGGTGGCATGCCTGTAACCCCCCAGATTTTCTTTTACCCCAGTGGGGCAAGCCCCCCTGGAACCCCCCGATTGGTCCAAAGCATGTCTATCTTGGTTAAAAACAATCAAATATTTCAAAAACTATTAATTTGTGACGGAAATGAAGTTGATATTCGTGTTCTGCGCATCAATATTTAGATCTAGTAGAAAATAGGCATCTGGTAGCTGAGTGTGAGACGGGAGGGAAAGTAAAAAAATACCCAAAGTGGAATTCACATCACGGTAACAGAAGCCCAGTCCAACCCTAACCTTGTGTATCTGAATTTTCATGTCATATTAATTCTCATGAAATTGAAATAACCCCGCCAAAGGCTAACTTTCAACGCAGCAGCAACCTTTTCCTCTAACATGAACTCTAACTCAAGGCTTGCTAACTCAAACTGAAACTTCAATCTTTGTTGCGGTTTACAAACATTTTCTGACAAATAGAATGGCCTACTACAGTCGATTTTGCTTGTGTTCAACTTGCTTGAAGTTGATCTTCTGTTAAATTGATCTTTTTCTTTGGTCCCTGCAAATCTTCTTTAAATTAGGCTACAGGTCCCTGCGGTTAAGTTGAACTTCGGATATGAGTTTCAGTTGATCTTTTTTCCCTGGTAGGAGTAGGGAGATAAAAGTTGGTAGCGTTAATTGCGACAGAGTGACGCTGTGACAACTAATGCGGCGTTAATTGCGACAGAGTGACTCTGTGACAAAAAAATTTTTAAAAGAAAAAACAAAAACAAACACACACACACATGCACACACACGCACTCACACATCCGCACACACATATACAAATACACATGCACACGAACCGACACACACATACACACAGACACGCACACACACATAGGCCTACACTCACACTCACAGACAAACAAACGCACACCGCACATGCTTGTGGCCTTATACACACGCATACACCACACGCATACACCACTAACACACACCAAACTAAGAGACAAACGAAGACAGTCGCAGCGCTTTTCTTGTTGTTGTTGCTGTTGTTGCCCCTAGTGGTTTTTGTTGCTGTTGTAGTATGCTGCTGCTGTTTTGTTGAAATATTTGTTGCCTCGACTCTACTGTACGGAAAGTCTTTTTGATTTTTACCACACTCTTTAAGTCCACCTTTTCAACTGTTTCAGATGATTTCTTCCTAAAGGCAACAAAATTTTCATCTTTAAATTTAGCAAAAGCTTTGTCAAATTCGTCGAAAGATTTGAATGCATGCTCTAGAAAGCCTTCCATCTTGTCAGGCTCAGACTAGCCTAGATAGAACTAAGTAGGACCACGCTGGGAGAAGCGAAATGGTATGCCTAGATGATGTTAGATAAAGGACCTTACTGTAATCTCCTTTTGATAGATCTAGATCTAGATCTAATCATCAATGCAAAGAGCTCCGTGTTCACTCTGTCTCAATTAACGCCGCGTTAGTTGTCACAGCGTCACTTTGTCGCAATTAACACTACTTTTTTTACCATGTCGCCATCTGTAACATTATTACAACCTACAATTGATAATCTGCTCATTTGAAAGCTAGTGCTGCCTGTTTTTGTCAAAACAAAACATCACAACATTTCGTGATTAAGACTCAAGCTCGCATGTTTTTTTGTTGTCTGAAGGTGAAGGGGTCAGGTGGGAGATCTTCTTCCCCATTGTTAAATCTCATTTAGCAGCAACCTTCACCTAACAGCAACCGCCAAGGCCTGCTTCCCAAGAGGGTTGCTGTAAGGTGGACATCATAGTACTGCATTGAATTTTACATCATTTTCAGTGAATACCATGTAAGTGGTTGACGGGTGCTCTGTTATTGTGGTTTGCGCCTCCTTTCCCATCAAACATCTATAGTTCGGCCCAGGTATTATTTTGCTTTCACACCTGTCTCAGGTTCAGATATTTTATTCTATAGAGCACTTTCCTTTTTCATTTTTGTCTGTTTTACACAAATTTGGCCTTTACTTTATATGTACGTCGTAAAAGTATTATTTTTTAATGCTTTCATTTAATCTATATTATTATCACAATGGGCCCAACTGCACAGTAATATTTCGCAAGTAAAAAAAAAAAATTGGGGGGTTTCAGGGCGGCATGCCTCCCTTTGTTTCACCATAATTTGTTCTTTTGCAGTAAGGCTTGAAACGATCTAGGAAAAAATTGATTTGCGACGGTTTTAGAAGCTATATATTTTTCATCCCAAAACACATCGATTTAGCCTCCAAAAGCAGTGCGTCTGCGTCCTGCAGTGTGGAAGTGAGATTTTAGCGTTCTCATCTCCACTTCTTTTCTTTATGTATTGAATGTTACTCTCAGCTAACACCTCTAATTTTCGGCACTTATGTGCCGTATTTTTGTTAAGTGCAGGAAATCTTACAAAAATTAAGTCACTGAATACAGTTGTTGATGTTTTGGCAATTATAAATGACCAAGGCCATGTCAATAAGTTACAACTACAACACAGTAAACAATTTCAGTTCGTGTTGGTGGTGTTAGATGTACTTTATCAACACTCCCATGCAGATGTAGTATTTTTAGGGCCAAAAATTTTGGCCGCCAAACACACATATTGTTACTAAAACTGTCACAAATGAATGGTTTTTCAAGAAAAGTTCAAAAGCAATTGCAAAACATCAATGGCAAATAGAGGGTGGGGGGTGGGGCCAGGCTGCCCATCATTACGAGTTTGGTGCAATCGTTATGTTTACATGCAATATTAATAAATTCTATGAAAATATGACTGTAATACCTTGATTCGAAGTTTTAAAGATTTTGGCTACCCAAACCCACTTTCTACTTTCATGGTGTATAAGGGGAGAAAAACTACCAGAACTAGACAGTGTATGTCACTATGTCAAGTGCTGCTATCTAACTTTAACATCCTCTTTGCATTGAACCCTAATAGTTGCTCAGTACCACTTTGCCCTTAGAAAAACATTAGACTTTAGAAGTGCCAAAGACAGGAATATGGCAAACATAAGGTTAAAAAAGTGTTAAAAAGTTCCAGCCCTTTTGTGTTGTGGGTACAGCCTAGGCCAATGAGAGATAAAAAAAAAAATTATAATCATTGTTTGAGACTTAAAACAATTAACTCCATTGGGTGTGGTGCGTGGCATGGTGTGTTGTGATACGCAATCTGGATCAAAGCTTGTGAAGTGTTCCCTTTTTGCTGTATTTGTATGTGTACTGTCGAACCTGCCTTAACGGAAACCTGTGTAAAATGGAAAACTGTCTAAACGGAATCTCCCTGCTCCCCCCTTGATATATATCCCTCTTCAATTACCTGTGTAAAGTTGAAACGGGAAAAAAAATCTGCTACCTTCCGAGGGTTTTAGCAGTCTTAAGATGGAAAATGCTTTGCCTGTTCAGTCCTGATTTGAAACTAAACTCGCAAGTTTGCTTCTGCCCACCAGCTATAAACGTAACGCCATGCTGCTGGGCGAGGTAGGGGAGTAGGGGTGCAATTTGAGGGTAGATGTTACCCCATCTATGTGAGCCCTGAGCAATGAAGATGGTCAGGGTGGTGTGGGTGTGAAATATCACGAGTGCCAGTGAAAATGCTCCAGTGGCGCTCCAACATGCAAACTTTTTTTGGTAGTCAGAGGCCGGAGGTGTGAAATTAGTTTGACCAATGCCTGCCGCCAAGAAAAGTGTTATGGCAGTGAGGGGTGGAATTGGTTGACTGTGCTTAATTACAACGATGGAGGGGGCTAAGGGTGGAAGCAAAGGAGATGTTCAAACGTTTCTGTTTCTAATAGGTCAAACAGTGGTCCTATGAAATGCAAGCACTGGTGGTAATTGGATAAATAAGACTGACGCATGTCATTATCAGAGAGGATAGCAGCTGAGAGGTGTGAAGTTTTGACCAGTTATGACTGCTTGCCCTCCAAACAAGCGACCCTTTATCCCATCAGCTGGGCCTTTGAACACCACCCCCCCCCCCCCCCCTCCATTTCCTCACTAAATTCCCCTGTCTAAGACGAAATTTTTTTCTGCCTCCCTTGCGATTCCGTCTTACACAGGTTCGACTGTATTATATAATCAATATAAAATCCAATATGTGGTTATGAAATATATATATACTGAGTTGCTCACTGTGACTTTCTTTTTTGTTTTTTAAATGAATTGAGAGGAAAAAGTGAATCAAAGATCTGAAAGGATAATACTTTTATTGTAAATACATGGGCAATAATATTAATTAGACTTGGGTTTTATTCTGGGAAATAGGGAGTTGGCATGGTTTTTATTAAGACATTTTCCTAATATCTCGCAGGCCTTTGGGTATTGGAACCCCAAAGAATTACATTGGATTTTAGTCTTTGAGTTTTTGCGACTCTTTGACAAACTAAGTACATGAAACAGTTCAGTGCCATCGCAGACAGAAGTTAAAACTCGTCCATCTATAAATTTCTTGAAAATACACATTAAACTGAAGAGAACAGAAGCATGAAACCTTAGTAAAAAGTAGTTGAAGGATCAGGTTGGGAAGGAAGCATATAATCTTTCATTGTACCGGGTTCTCCTCTTCCTTTGCCTCCAAGAAGTAGACATTGCTGTACATTGCTTTTCTTCCTTAAAATTTTTTTTTTCTCATCACACTTTTTCCTTCTCTCTCTTTTTTTTCCCTTCTGCACTCCGGATCATGGTTCATTTTTATTTTGGTAAGTGTTTTTACGGCGCTCACAACTGCATACACGGTCATATGAGCACGCAGGACACATTAAACAATTTTAGTTTGATAGGAATTAATTTTAAATTTTGGTTGTAGGTCACTGACATATAATAAATCAGTTGCTTTTGAGGCTGGATGGCTACATGGGTGGTTGGCAAGTGCTTTGGTGTGGCTTGCTCTTTCTTTCCTATTAAACATCTAACGTCTTTACCAATCCTTCTTTTTTTGTGCTTGTTACTCTCTTATTTTTGGCTCTGATTATCTCGTTATGTTGCAAGTGCTGTAAAACTGTTACTAAAAAAGGAAAGCTTACTGGCATCTCTCTGCAACACCATGTTACTGTTATATATAGTTGTTTTTTTTCCTGCTCCCCATGGCCAGAATTCAACCCCCCCCCGCGGGCTCACATTTTCATGTTTACACCAATTTTTTATGTGCGAATTGAGGTGAATAATGAATTAGTCAATTGAATTAGGCATATAAAAGGAAGATCAATGAAGATCAACTTCCTCGGAGGTGGAAATGGACAAGTAAGACCGGTTCAGAAAATAGTTTCTTGTAGATAGTAGAGGGCTACCATTTGTAGTTTGTTGATAAAAAGTCAATACAACGCAGGTAAAGGAAGCCTGTTTACATTAATCTTTCTATAGCATTTGTTTCAGATGTCCAGCTTTGAGTTGTGCCTGTTTTTCAAACAGGGTCTCCATTTAGCAGAAATTAAACATTTGAAACCAAGAATTTAGAATGGTGTTACTAAACCTCTTTCTAAAACAAAAAAAGCACTTGTATGTGATGTGCAAGTTAATTGTAATTAATAATTTTTATACCGTCCAGCACACACATAGTGAATATGTACATAGTTAATCGCACACACATAGCAGACAGATTTTCAGACCCTTCTTTTTCCCCCCTAGACATGCATTTTCTCTTTATTCGAAACACATAATAAATGATAATATGTAGTGAAGTTTGTACCTAATGAAAAGATTTCAGCGTCTTGCTGATTTTGTAGTTTGTGTGCCCGAATGTATTTGAATATGTGGCTGTTGTAGTTGCAACGAGCTGTAAATACATAGTCAGATCAAAGTGTTTGATTAGTCAGTCCCTCGTGGGTCAATAATAAATTCTCTTTTGTTTTTTGTTTACAGTCTCTCTTTAGAAAAAACAATCTTTGTTTGAATATCCAAGTACAACCTTTTTTTCACTCACTATAGTCAGTGTTTATGTTGTTATTGCACACAAAGGTTTTGGTGGAGGGAGGACACCACTGGAAGGTCATACTTCTTTACTTTCCTTCTGTTGTGTCTGTCTGTCTGTCTGTCTGTTTTTACTTTTTCCCAGCACAAAATGACAATTATTGTGTTGATGTGCTTCTCTCATAAAGCATGCAAAGAATTCAAATTGTTTTACTTGAGGCCAATGACTGTGTTAAATTCATTTCGTGAGTTGGAGAACAAAATGTGTTTGGCTTTTTACACAGCTTGGTGTGCGTTTTTTTTATCTGGATGTTTGTTAGAATGCTACATAAATGCAAGTGTGTTTAAAATTAAAACTGCACACTTAGCATTTTCCTAATTAGCAGCTGAATTTTTAATTCACTTTAACTGTGATACATAGCTAAAATAGGGGTATCGAATTTCTGGATGATATTGATTTTTTTATACTCTCATGAAGAATTTGACCTGTCCGATGTAAGTTATGGTAATGCTATGGCTCTCTCTCACTCTCTCTCGAATGATAGGCTGTTACTTTACCGTTGTCCTGTGCAGTGTTGTGAAGGGCTTACTTGTTTTAAGTTTGAAAAGTGTCTGAAGTGGAGTTTTCTGTAGGCTGACCCTAGGTGTTTGATTCTTGTTGTGTCCCAAACTTTTTTGGTATAAATGTGGTATCTATTCTGAACAGGGATAATGATCAACTTCAGAATATTTATTTATATTTATTGAATTTCTGTTTCTCCTCAGAAAAAGCAAAAGCCAAAAAGTTTGTGAAGTTATACCATTTCTCTTGTTCTTGCATTTGAGCTGTGATTCACCCCCCTGTCATATATATAGACTAGAGTGAACAGCTGATGTTACGGTTGAAATTTTTATTTTAATGTTCAGTGTTTTTTGTGCATATGGTAGAAAGCTGTCTGGAGGTGGAGGAGAGCTCTTCTTGGCAGCCTGTACCCAATACCAGGGGGGAAAAAAGCTATTGATCATTGATGATGATGTTTGATTCATGTATTTCCAACAGATTTCCCATTTGTCAAACTGTCAAACAGCTTCAAGTGAATGTCTTTTTTAAAAAAATCCACAGAATATCTGATTGGCAGTGTCATTTGGATTTTGTGAAGGAAGAGGGCAAACATTGTCTGTTATGGCAACCAAAGTGAGTTACGTGTTATCTAAATGCACTCCAGGTACTGAACTTTTTTCTTTTTAGATCCTCTCAGTTTTTATATTTTTGTGCAGTCATGTCATTGACGGCTGTTGGTATTTTGATGGAGGGACAGGTGGATGGCACCCCATGTTTCTCTACTGCACAAGCAAATAACCAATTCTTATTTTGTTTGTGTAAATATAACAAATAATGGGGTTTATGTACCCTGCTTACATTTTTTAATGCTGACAGTGTGAATTATGTTGGCAAAATGATCATGTTTTTGCTGTAGGTGTATCGCAGATCTGTCTGGCCTGTGAGTTCTGTTGTCTGTTTTGTGTCTGCTCATCATATATGTTTTTAAGTGAAAACTATGGTGGGTGGTTGGTGGGAGTTCTGGTGTGGTTTGCTCCTTCTTTCCTATCAAACCACTATCCTCACTATCTTTTCCTCCGTCTTTTGTTGTGTGTGTTACTCTCTTGTAACACGCCTAATCTGTGGCACTTATATGACCTTATTGAGTTGCAAGTGCCATAAAATGCTTACTAAAAATAAACAAATTTTAAAAGATTTGAAATAGTATAATGATATTAATTATGATAATGATTGTAATAATAGCTGCATTTATATAGCACAGGATATCCACTCTCTACAGCACGCTCTTTGAGTTTTACAATTATCGTTACCCCAGGGGACCCTAGAACACGACTCAGAAACATGCTCGGCTTCCCGGGTGCAGTCTTTGTTGGTGGGTTTTTTTTGGTCAATTTTTTCCTTGATGTCTTTGCTGAATTTCTTATTCTCTGCATCGACCGATCCCTTGACCTTTTCACAAGTCTCCCAGGACAGAGGTAAAAAACCAAAAGTGGGTAGTTGGTGGGTGCTCTGGTGAGGTTTGCTTCTTTCCTATAAAAAAATCTATCATCGTTCTCTCTCCTTTTGTTTTGTGTTTGTTACTGTCTTGTCACATGCCTAATCTTTGGCACTAACTGTTCTGCAAGTACCATAAAACTTTTACTAAAACAAAAGATAAAGAACCAAAGTCTTGAAATATCTGGGATGATCGGACACACCCTATGTGACCTGCCCTTAGAGTAATTACCCTCAGTTTGGGATACGATGTCTTTCTGGTTTACTAAGTGTGTCATGACACTGGAATCAGATGCTCATAATTTTTTGGGCATATGATATGGACTTACTGGTTTCATCTTAAATCTTGTTCTTTTGTCTTGATGTGGATGAAACTATGCCATATATCTTGAATGGAAGTTGAGATATTTGTAAGTCTAGGTGGTGGGGGTCGCCTGGTATCAGAGGAAAAATTAGCGAGAAAATGGCAGCCAAAGTTGTGTGACTTCCAAAGCTTGAGAGTCTTTGGAAAGAGCAAATTTTTTCGATCAACATTTTTCAGTAAAGTCCACACAGAAATGTGTTCTTAAATGAACATAACGTCACTGTATCAAGCAATCCATTTAAGTCCATTTGGGTACTTTTTACACCAGACACAAAAAAAACTAAGTGTTGTGTTGTTCCTATCAGTCAGGAATCATAAAAGGCAAGAAAATTATAAGCCTTGACCATAGCATTTTGGTGATGTTGAAAGGCGCATCTTTGTTTGAGTGCACAGTCTGATGAAGCCTGCTCTTTCTAAATCTGTCAGTTAGGCATAGAGAAGCTGTTTGCTGTTGTGAAGAATCGGTGAAAAAGAACTTTTGCAAAAGTCTTGGAAAATGAAAGTCATGATAATCCTTTTGATTTCTGTGCATGGTGTCAAAGGGTTCTTGTGTTATGTAGTATGTAGGCATAAAGTGATCCTCAGACGAATAGAGTCAGTGGCAGTTATGTTCGTTCCTGTTAATGTGTGTCTCTTGAGCCACTTTATTATAAACAAACACTGTGTCAACAGACAAGAAAATTGTCCTTTGACATCGATGTGGCTTAATTCTGTCAATCAGTTTCAAAGAATTGTTACAGGACACCTCTTGTTTAGTGTCTCTGTCTTTCTTCCCTGTAGTTGATTCACTGTCGCAGAGTTGTGACATACCTGCCCAATCTGCGTGCTGCTGTGATACAGAGCAAGGCCTTCTCCTCAGCGTCTGATCAGTTTGAGCCAACTCCACCAGAAGCAGCAGAAGACTCACCACGTAAGGAAATGATCAGTCTCACTCCAGACTCTCTCCGCTCTGATTTTTCTGTGTGAAATGTTTCTTATCTTTTTCTCAGCTGGAACAAATTCCTCCGCTTACTGGTACAGTTTTCTGATTTGGTAGAGCTTCTCAAAGGGTATTGAGGATAGTTATTGGATGCTCTATCTAGTGTGGTCTGCTCTTTTCATTGACATTATTTTTATCCTCGTCTGTTCCTTGGGAAATATTTCTATTACTGTGTTGACTCATTGTAAACCACTAGAAAGAAGAAAAGGAAAAAAGAAACCTGAGTTTACTGCTGCTGATGGAAAGGCTACTGTAAGCTTTAAGCACCTTATCATGTATAGATTCAATGAAATGCATACAGAGGCATTTGTGTTTATAGATTATTGAAACTGTCATTAAGCAGGAAAGGGGTTGTGCTTTTCTCTTTATTTGAGGGATAGAAATAATGTTTCGGGGGTGCTTAAACTCTGCAGAGATTGCTTCATGAAATTGAAAGTTACTACAGTGTTTCCGAGCAGATAATACTATTGCTGTGATCACCTGAGGGAAGGGAAAAAGAATTATTTTGGTAGTATAGTCGAACCTGTGTAAGACGGAATCGAAAGGGAGCCAGAAAAAAATTCTGTCTAAGACATTTTCCTTCTGCAAGCAGTGGTCAAAACTTCACACCCCTCAACTGCTATTCTCTCTGATACTGTCAATGACATGCATCAGTCTTACTTATCCAATTACCACCAGTGCTTGCATTTCATAGGACCACTGTTTGACCTATTAAAAGCAGAAAAGTTTTAACATCTCCTTTGCAACTATTTCCAGATGAAATGTGGCAGTGGGTGGTAGCATGGTTTGCTCCTTCTTTCCCACCAAATATCTATCATCTTTATCTCTCCTTCTTTTTTTGTATTTGTTACTCTAATTATGTTGCAAGTGCTGTAAAACTTTTACTTAAAAAAAAAAAAGAAGAAATGTGGCAGTTTGTTGGGTGGACCTACCATAAGCTACAAACGCTATGTGTTTGGCTGAAGGGCATCATTGATAAGTCCTACTTCTTCACTTGCCCTGTTTTTCCAGTCAATGTGCCATGTTCTTTTTCAGTACTAAATGACTGTGTGTGTATGCTTCTCTTTCCCCCAATGAATAAAAAAATTGTGTGTGTCAGTGATGTCTGGTTTGTCTGTCTCTTAAGGCGTCCAGACGGTGTGGCCGGATCACATGCTCGGGCCCCTCGGCCCTCAAGATAAACGGTTCCCCTTGCCAGGGTGCATTGGACCCTGCGTCAACACACGCCGACTAGCTCAGGACCTCAATGCAAAACCAGTGCTGGTCTCACCTGGGTTTGATATTAATGCCGTGTTACCTCCGCTACCTGAACATCGCCATTTTGACATCGCTGAACAGTTCCTTACATCTGTGGACGAGGTAAGGAACCTCAATCTTTTTGTGCATTATCTTAATGGCCTCGGCATACTGGAATTTTTTGTTTTTGCTTATTATTGGAACAAAGGGAAACCAAAGGTTTTTGGCAGGTGGTTGGCGGGTGCTCTGGTGTGGTTTGCTCCTTTCCTATCAAACATCTATCGTCCTGATCTCTCCTTCTTTTTTATGTTTTGTTACTCTCTTGTAACCCCTCTAATATTCAGCACTTATATGACCTTATTGTGTTGTAAGTGCCGTAAAACTCTTACAAAAAAGGGGTTTTGAAGTAATTAGCTTCTGAGAAATAGTATGGCTGTCGGCAGCGTATAAAAGGGAAATTTCCTGAGACTGTCGCATCCATTTACTATGCTTTTGAGAAAGCTTTGATGAGTTTACTAATCACATGAGAAATTTGGATACTTCCGGATCCGAATAAGTGTCATAAAGTTCAGTTTGGTCTTATGTCTTGAACCCAGTTATTGTAGATGCAGCTTATTTACATCGGCTCTCAATAAATCAGATACTTGTATATTAACCATGCCTTTGAAACTGTTTTACTCCAAGTAAGATGTGGGGCCTTCTTTTGGAGTATGATTGGTTTTATGTGGAAAAGGTGGAAAGAATGAGTTGAGACAAATACTCTTCGTATTCAAGGGAGAATACAACAAAAATACAACACCCCATCATTGCATGTTTTGCCTTTTATTAACAAAGACAACAAGAGCTGTCTGTGACGGACGTACTACCCTCATGTGTGATCATTTACCTTTTGACGGTCAGTGCTACAATTATAACGCATACAGTAGCACAGTGAGAGCAGCACAAACTCACAACAACCCCGAGAACTGAAATGAGGTCAGTCTGCTGCGAGGTAGGAATTAGGTTGGCTCTTCATCTTGAAAAACAACAATGATAGTGATGCAAACGTAAACAGAAGAACCAAAAAACCAAGTTTCTCCAATTTTTACTGGACTGAACAAACATACAATGTTAAACTACTTTCATAGATTGTTAATGATAGATTGTTAATGGCTTATAATGAACCCTCCCCAAAATAAAACTATATAGGAAGGCAAATGAAGGTTTGGGTCACTCAACAATTATGTGTAAATTTATTGCAGATTAAAACAAGGATTGAATGTTCTCTATCAGTTTCTAAAAAATTACAGTTTTATTGGCTGCTGTCTTTATTGGAACCATTTGAAGCCAAAGTTTTCTTGCAGCTGCTCCCCTGCCTCCTTAGTTCCCCATTTTTGTGTCTTTTCCCTTTTCTCTTGTCTTTACTTGAGACAAACAATACGTGAGAGCAAACTAGAGTTTTTCAGTTTTGTTCTTTCCCTCTTCCTCCGCTTACATCTCTCTTTCTTTTTTTGTCTTCTATTCTTCCTTTTCCTTAACTGTCATGGCCACTGATGTTAAAGTGCAGTGGACTTACCTGTTAGTCACATGTTGGCCAGTGTTCTTTCCCAGTTACGATGAGAAGAGAACAGGTAAACAAGACCCAGGCCTTAACCTAAATGTCTTATCAGTAGCCAACCATAGGTCCGGGGTCCCCACTTTTGACCTAGTTAAGGTGTTGGAGGAGGGGGTCACTGCAGGGTTCAAGATATGCCACCGTGTTCTGGTCTTGCTTGTTTTTCTTTCATTCAGTATGGGCGTACTTGTTCAGTGCTCTCTGTCTGTCTCTCAGTCAAGTGCTGTAACTTTCTTGTGACTTACACACTCCAGTTCACAATCAGGCCTCTATTAGTTCTCACTCAGGTATGGGTGGTAACTTGCACTAACTTTGTTCAAGTTTTGTGCTATATTTACCTTGTTTGTTTTCCTGTTCCTGAGTCGTGGCTAGTGAAGAAATGTGTGGATCCTTGTCTGTAGTGCAGAAATGTTGTGTTTTAAAATTACTGTGGGAAAGTAAATGTGCCTCTTCTTTCCAGAATGTAAGAGAAGAGAGAATGAAACTACTGAAGTTGGCTATTTTAATTTTGTAAGAGTCATTGTTACTTTTGTTTTCTACCCTTTGGCTCATTATTCTCAGTGTGATAACATTTGTAGCAGACAGTGAGGTAAGCAGATTATTTTCATCCTTTCTAATGCTACTAATACAATGGAGAATTCTTGGCATTTTGTGGCAGAACAAAATACTAAACGTGGAAGTTCTTAAAAGGGCAAATGTAGATAGTTTTTCTAAACTCAAGAGGACTCAACGACGATTTTGTAGTTTCGTTTGTTTAAGTCAAGAGTAGGGGGGTTTCTTGCCCCCTGACCTAATAAAAATATGGAGGGGGGGGGGGGTCATGAATTTTATCCTAATTTTATGTTTTGCAGTTAGGTTGCATCCCTGCTCTTTGTGTAGCCTATTTGGTCATCAAGACTTCTGGATTTCTTCTCTGGATGTAAACAAATGGATAGTGGACTTTAATGAACGAAACTGCCTGATTTCAAAATCCAAAGGCAGTTTTCTATTCTGAGCTGTCCTCGTGGAAGCGTATAGCTGGTGCACAAAAAATGTGCTGCAAAGATGGATTTCAAAATAAATCGACATGTGAGGGTCTAAATTCTGATAGACCAAGTTGGAAACAGTAGTCACTGTAGACAGCAAGTATGATGAAACTTCACAAATAAGAGATGTTGAAACCAAGAGAAAAGCCCGCAAGCTAGCTGTGTACATCCACAGATGGAAGTGGAACTTTTAAAACAAATACTCAAAATTTGGCTAACTTTGCCCCGCCAGTATTGGCTTCATTGATGGCCATAGCAGAAGCCATAATTCATCTTAACCTTTGATTCTTCTATTTCTATTAAAAAATATCCTCCTCTGCGGATGCACTGGTCAGACATTGACGGACAAAATGTTATTATTAAGGCAATGACATGGAAATTTGTAAACAATCAGAGTGGGTAGTTGGTGGACGCTCTGGTTTGGTTTGCTTCTTTTTTCCTCTTAGACATCTATCATCCTTATCTCGCCTTCATTGATTTGTATGTTACACTCTAGTAACACCTCTGATCTTTGGTGCTTATTTGAAGGGATTGTTTTGCAAGTGGAGCAAAACTCTTACTTAAATTAAAGGAATCTGAGTTAATCTTGTGCTGAGTGGAAGCAGATTGTCGTGGACAAATGTGCCAAATAGATGTGAGCTCTGAACATGAAGATAATTCTGAGAGACTGTCACTGTCAGGCCCCACGTTCAAATTTGTTTTGGATTTTCTTATATCTGCCATCACAATTTTTTCTAATCTGAAAATTGGTTGGAGGGTGCCACAGATAAAGATTACGTTTTATTTTTCATGTGTTCCTTTTGCTTGTCACCTTGTTTTTCTTGGGCGCTGTAGGGTTGTACCTGATTGAATTACTTTGTAATAATTCAAACAAATAACGTAAGTACCACTTTGTCTATGCTTCTAGCTTCAGTTGTAAAATCAACAAAATCTCACCAGAAGTACAGTCGGGCACAGGTAACATAAACGCAGAAAACTCAAAATCACAGATAGCTCGTACAATTTGCTGTGTTCTGGACTGATATATAATCGTTAATTTTTCATTATTGGTTAGCTCGAATTATGGTTGGGTCAACACATTCGTCTCTCCCTGTTGCGTCTGAATTATCCATGCTTGACAGTATATGTATTCTGTGTTTGTAGTCAATGTTCTAACTCTTAGGTTTTTGTGTCTCGCACAGATTGTAGTTGAGTTTGTGGAGAGCGACATGTCGAGGCCAAGTGCCACAGACAAGATGGAGTATCGAGCACATGCGTGTCCGGACATTCTTCGCAAAGGTGAGCAAGTGGGTGGTTGGTGCATGCTCTAGTTTTGTTTGCTTCTTCTTCCCTATCACACATCTATCGTCATTCTCTCTTTCTTCCCTCTTTTTTGTGTTTGTTACTCTCTAATGTTAAGCACTAATATGACGTCATTGTGTTGTTGCAAGTGACGTAAAACTCTTACTAAAACAGAAAACAAGGTGAGCAAGACTGATCCGATGATGTCTGGATATGGTCTCTGAAGGGATCATAGCTGCTGGTCTTGGTTGATGTAGTGTGATTTCTTTTCCAGGATAATTGTTAAGGGAGTCTCCAGACTGGTGTCTGTGCTGTTATTTTTATTTGTCATCACTGTTCTGTCTGAATGATTAGCTGTAGTACCCAGCATTTACCCTGTTCAATAAAAGTAAGAGGGTTGGTAGTTGTTTATCTGTACTTCAATAGATTGGAATTTCAGCAGATGAATTAAAACAGTGCAAACTTTCATTTTCATCATTCACTCAAATTTAGTCAAATACAGAAGTCCTTCTAAAGGGCTAAAGTTTTGGATGTCAATTAACTTAAATAAAAGACAACACATTGTGTTCAAAAGACAACACATTGTGTTCATAGTTTTGCAGTGCTATTATAAGTGACTGAATTTGAATTTTTTTTGAGGTTTCACTCAAAAGTAAATTTTGTTGTTGTCCCCCCGTTTAAAATGTTTCTTTTCTATTGCTAAATTTTTGGTTCCAGAATTCAAGGAGCTATTTCCGGACAGGAACATTCAAGAGGGAGACTTGACTATTGTCAACATCAGTCTGAAAACAGAGAATGACATGACACTTTGGTCTTCAGAAGTGGAGGAGGAGAGAGAGGCTCTTCTGGAGACTGTAAGTCCTTTAGAAATAGGGTATTAAAAGTCTTTTTTTTTTTTTTCAGTTAATTGTTGCATGCCTCTTTCTTGTCTGCCGGAAGTCATAATTAAATAAAACTTGTTACTGTTGGATTTTCTCATTGGACGAATCAGTAAAATTATCCTTTCTATTGTGGAATTAGTCTGTTTTATGTTTTAGTAAGTTTCATACAAGAGCCAAAGATTAAAGGTGTTACAAGAGAATAACAAATACCAAAAAAAAGATGGAAAGATAAGGACGATATATGTTTGATAGGAAGAAGGGAATTAGTCTAGAATTTAACATGTGAAGTGAAGGAGTTCAGCAAGGAAATCAGCCGTCTCTTCTGTGAGTTCAGAATTTGTGTCTTGTCTCAATATTATTTTTCTATATGTCTGAGATGCCAATTTATATATTTTAGTAATAGCCATGACTGAAACTGACTCTTAACATTTATGCTGCGACGGACGACGGTCATCCTGTAAACGTCGTCTTAACCTGCCATGGACTACCTTAGTCTTTCGCTTAGGGAAATGATTTCGTAGTCCATTGTCGGCGCCATAACACCATAATAATATAAAACTGACAACATCCGATACTCATGGGAAACCGAAAGTAACTTTCCTGAATGGTTTCCACCAGGTCTAAGCTGTCTGGGGCGAGTTTTTGCCTTTGTTAGTAAATTTGTCTTAGCGTCTTCATGTCTTCGAAAAAGTTTTTGGAATGGATAACAAACGCAACTATATCATGACCCAAAATGATAGATTTTTCGAATCAGATAATGGCAGCAGTGATTCTGAAGGAGAACCAGAGGAGGTTTCTGAGACAAGTACTGCATCAGTTGAGATTAAGGAAGACATTACTTACTCACAAGCTAACCAAAGCTATTGAGCAATTGCATTAAGAGTTAAGGAATTACCATTTGATCCCTGCTCCTCTCAGCTACGATGAAGAACAATGCTTTTTATTATAAAAGAAAATAAATAATTATAGCTATAAAAAAGATAACATCTAGTTTTGATATATTGTGATGTTTATATTTTTTTATATTTGCATTATTTTTTTCACAGTTCATCCAAGGAGCCGTAGAAATTTGCCAGGCATTTGAGGATTCTGGCTTCTGGGCTGACTTTATTGAGCCAACCTCTGGAAAACCAGTGAGTTGCTTTCCTTCCTATGAATGTGATCTGTACGTGCTTGCCAGCTTCTTGTCCTTGTCCGTCCCTGTTTGTTTTTGTGGTGAACCGTCTAAAAGGGAACAGTTTTGTGTTTTAAAGGGAGCAGCCTCTGGAGTTTATTTAGAACATTTTGTCGTATGGAGGTAAATGTATACATGTAACGGATTATGAAATGTAATTCTATTTTTAATGTTTTTAACAAATATGATTTTCCATCAGAAATGCCTTACAGTGGACTGCAAATGTGGGTGGTTGACGGATGCTCTAGTGTTGTTTGCTCCTTCTTTCCTTTCAAACATCTGTCGTTCTTATCTCTCCACCTTCTTTTTTGTGTTCGTTACTCTCTTGTAACACCTCTAATCTTTGGCGCTTATGTGACCTAATTTTGTGTTGTAAGTGCCTTAAAACTCTTAATCTTACTAAAACTAACAGTGGTACAAATGACTCAGAATTGTAGATTGTGTCATTTTATGTGAGTTTTCAGTCATTTGAGTATTGCTTGTTGCTCATCTGTAATGTTTCTTGCAACCAAAAGTCTGATTTTTTGCCTCAAGTCTGTGACATATGAACCATAAAAGTAAAAAATTAGATCTAGTCTTTGTTGTGTGTGAAAAGGTCGCTTGCAAATCCTGTTGCATCATACCTTCACACATAGTGAAAGTTGACGGGGTTGCTGTAAGCAAATATACAACCACTCGTACTCATACAGCTCACACTCAGTACACCCCCCGGGGCAGTGCCACTGACTGTAGTGTCTTTAGGCCGTTCCCAAAGGGGGGACATTTCTCGGTCGAGCATAGTAGAATTGTAAATGGGCTGACTCATGTCACTCTCATAACTGTGCCTGATCTACAACAGGGAACTGCTGCTTTTTCTTTCCTGATCCTTACTATTGTCATTTTCCTGTACTTCTTTTGTATGTTTGTCACTCTCTTAAGATCTGCTATTTTGGGGTGCCTTGATAGTCAAAGCAGACCTTGTGCTGTTGAAGCTAGAGAGATGAGCAGTCTAAGTCTGATTCCCCGTAAAGACTTCTCTGTTGACACCCACCCCTTGGCGCTCATATGACCTTATGCAGTTGCGAGCACCGTAAAACCCTCTACTATTTAAAAAAAATGCACTCAGTACCCTTGTATTTGTAAGCTGCATTGGTGTCACGGACCAAAATTCTCATCCATTAATAACTGCTTCTTTTTCCAAGTCTCAGACTTATTTGCTAATTATGCTATACAGCCTGGATAGCTGGTGGCTGCTCTGAAGTGTAGTGTGTTCCTACTCCTATTTTTTTTTTTTTTTTCATGATGTTCGTTTGTCCATGATGAGGTGTGGCTGTTTTCCTGCTGGCTGACTGTATAGCTTGTGGGTGGTTGGCAAGTGCTCTAGTGTGATTTGCTACTTCTATTTTATCAATTGTCCATCGTCCTTATTTCTCCCCCTTTTTGTGTTTGTTACTCTCTTGTAATAATTCTAATCTTTTTGCACTTATATGACCTAATTGTGTTGCAAGTGCTGTAAAACTCTTACTAAAGCAAAAACTGTAGCCAAGCACTGTTTTTTTAATCGTGGAAAAGTGACCTAAGCCCATTTTTCTTTGCCTTTCCTCCTGATTATGCTTGCTCTCTCCGGGTTGCCACCTCTGTAATAGCCCAATAGTGCTGAAAGGGCATTAAATCCATACTCGTGGGTGGTTGGCGGGTGCTCTGATGTGGTTCGCTTCTTCTTTCCTATCAGACATCTATCATCCTTATTTTTCCTCCTTCTTTTTCGTGTTTGTTACTCTCTTATAAAACCTCTAACCGTCGGCACTTACATGACCTTATTGTGTTGCAAGTGCCGCAAAACTCTTACTTAAACTAAAAATCCATACACAATACACTTACTGTTATTTCTCCATGTTGTTTCAGTTCAAGGGTCCGCACACAAACTTCACCCTGTTTGAAACTGATGAGCGCTACAGGCGTATGGGCTTTGATATCCTTGACCTAGGCTGCTGCAAGGTGATCACCCACCCCGTGTGGGGCACGAATGCTTACATTGGCACCCTGTTCAGCAACGCTCCACTCAACCACCCTCTGGTGACGTGTCTGAAACCGGATCAGTAGATGGCGCTTGTCTGTGTTATTAATGAATGAGAATTTTGGTCTGTGTGCTTGTTTATGTGTCTGTGAGCATGTCAGTTTGTCGGGTGGCTAAGCTAGAGTCAGTACGTGGTTGTTTTTATGATGATGAGTGTTTTGGTGTGTTGTTCAGAGGAAAGTTACTTGCAGTAATGTCTGTAGTTCCTCATAGACAGAGTTTAGAGCAGTGTTGGCTGTGTGTGTGTGTGTGTGTGTGTGTGTGTGTGTGTGTGTGTGTGTGTGTGTGTGTGTGTGTGTGTGTAAGTCTGTCAGGTTTTGAGCAAAAGTGACTGAACTCATTAGTGTGTAAGTGTTGTCATAACTGTTATGCCTAGTTTTTTTTATTTCAGAGTATGTGGTAAGACTGTTGTATGAGATTGTGAATGTGCATTTATATCATAAGAACAGAGCACACATGTTAATATTGTAATCAGGGGAAGCTTCTGTGAGATATAATGCCTCAGAACAGCTGGCTTTAAATGAATTCTCTCTTTTGATTCTCAATTTTTAACAGGTATTTTAGCACATTGTGCTTTTCTTACTTCTTTACGTTTCCAGTGGCTGTTGTTTGGGTTCTGTTGAGAACTTGAGATGTTTGAGTTTGAGTGCAATCCTGTCATGTTGAAGAAAGCGTAGAGTAGACACTGTGCTGTGGAGGTAATAGATTAGTATACTTGTCCTTGTTGGTTGTGATAAGTCACAGGAAATTTTTTTTCTGCCATTGTGCTTGGTTGTCAGGTTTTGTGGGAAAATGTTGTGGGACTAGACTGTACAAACAGGGCTTTTAATTTTAAACTGGAAGACATAAGTACTGGGTGTTCATTTCATTATATTGCTTTTTGCAGTGTTATGGGTCAGACAGAATGCAGTTTTGTGAATTAACCTTTAAGCATATAGTTTGCTTTATCTGTTGTCAGAATGTATCTTTTTATCCCAGTTTTAAAGAAAAGAATTGTTGTTAAGTAATTCACTTAAGTTATATAAAAATTTTTACCGTACTTTGAAAATATGCTTATTTGGGTTTTTGAAATCTTACTATCTTATCTATTCTTAAACTTCAGGTATGGCGGTGGTAAATTAATTTTGTGGATGTAGATTTTTTTGTTGCTATAGCTACTTTCCACTATTTGCTCTGTTATTGCACTTGAGATTCAAGCTCCAAAATATGGGATTGGGGAATTTTTTTCGGTTTACGTTCAAATGGGGAAGAAAAAAGCGTGGATTCTGTTTTCTTTTGCTCTACCTCGGTTTTTAGATTAATCATGTTCGGTTTAAGAGGACTCCATTGTATTGGCTTCCTACTGGCATAATTACTCTTGCCACTAATGTTGGGATTTTAAAAATAATATTGTTGTTTTGGTCACTATAAAAGTATAAGGATGAAGAGAAGACTCTGTACATTGCAAGAATTTTGTTGAATTTTTCTTTCTGTTGGGGTTGTCTTATTGTGTTTATGGAGATGATCATAAAAAATGATGTTGTACTTGTCTAAGATGGACTGATGTATAGGATTTTCTGTATTTACGAAATGTCTTGGGTATGTAGCAAGTCCTGTGTTATTTTTATTTCTCTTAAATATTTGTTTTCTGAACGCCATGGGTTGTAACCTGTTCCTCATTTGGTGATCCTTTTAATTTAGCTTGCTGTGTTTGATTGATCATTTTTTCTCGATATGTTGTGAGTGTTAATTCAGTGAAGCAATGGTATTTTTTGCCAACTCAGGTGTCAGAGAAAGTCTGTTTGAGCCAGTGTTGTGCCTCACTTCTCCTGGGGAAAGTAGTTGTTCTTTGTTGCTTAGTGTTCAAGTTTGTGTGGGAAGTAGCATGAGTTTTTAGAGTGACAAGATAGTGAAAGGTGGGTGGGTAGGTAGGTAGGAGTGTGCAGTTTGTAATTTAGAGCTTGAACTGTTAGTGAACATTCGTGCTAATTTTAAGCGGGTTAATCAGGCATAGTAACAATTATCAATATATACACACACATTTATGCACAAGATACTCATGCCTCTTTCGGGAGTTGTCCCATAGATAACACATTGTTGATTAATGTTTATCTGAGATGCCATTTTCTGTTGAAGAGATTTAATAAACAAGTGTTGCTCTGAGTGTATAACTGCATAGATTTGTTCCTTTTTTGTGTTACAAATATTCAGTTGTTGAAGTTTGATTCATTTTGATTTCTACCTCACTTCTTGTTAATACGTGTACCGTATTATTATATGTGGGTCGTTGATGGGTGCTCTGGTGCGGTTTGCTCCATCTTTTCTATCAAACATCTATTGTCTTTATCTCCCCTCCTTCTTGCTTGTGTTTGTTTCTTTCTTGTAACACCTCTAATTTTCAGCACTTATATGACCTTATTGTATTGCAAAGTGCTGTAAAACGCTTACTTAAACAAAACAAAACAAAACAAGTGTTATCACTATCTGTTCCAGGGAAAAGAAAAGAAGATTTCATGCTGAACGCTACAGCGTAACTCCGCTCAATATTTTCATTTGGATGCATTTGCCACCTTTGTTTTTTTTTTCAGCCTCTGAAAGCATGGATTACATTATTTAGTTGTCCGTGAATACTAAAACTGGACTGGGGCAGGGGTTCTTTACCATTATGATGATATTAATAATTATAAAAGATTGCTTGTATAAAGTGCTCAATCCCATACAAGTTATAAGCTCTGATTGCTTTACATCGATTATATATATAATATATATATATATATATATATATATATATATGATTATTGAGAGTAAACCCCATACTCAAATATATATATTTCATATGCACCTACCCCCCCCCAAATAAACCCCCCTAGTTCAACCACATAAGGAAGAACTTTCTCAGCCATACATGGATTATATACACGTAAAGGCAGCAGTGAAAACATTGTGGTGTCAGTGGCCTAGTGGTTAGGCTCTCAGACTCGCAACAGGTCTCGGGTTCGAATCCCGTTAGGGGTCTGACGTGCCCTTGGGAAAGACTCTTTGCACAAATTTTCCTCGCTTCGCCCAGGTGGAAATAGGTACCCAGCTATATATATATATATTATATATAAGATGATACCAATAGTTTCATATGCCAAAACATTGACGGGGGTTGGTTGGCGGGTGCTCTGGTTGGTTGCTCCTTCTTTGCTATCAAACATCTATGAGGGCTCTCGTGGCCTAGAGGTTAAGGTGTTGGCCTCTCATTCAAAGGTCCCGGGTTCGAATCCGGGTAGTGACCGAAAAATTTTCTTCTCTAAATTTGTCTCCTTTCACCTCCTTTCCTGCTCTCTAGCAATGTTCTGTCGTCTGCTTTCGTCTCCTCTTTCTGCCCCCACTCCCTCATCTCCTTTGCCCCCCTCCTCTGGGCTCCTGATTCTTTCTACAGCCTTTCTACTGCTATTCCTTGGCTTCTTCTTACTGCTGTCTTTCAGCCTCACCCCTGATCTTCTGGTTGGAAAGATCTACACCTAGCCTTCTCGGATAAGGGTGAAAAATCTCGGAGGGCCCGTGTGCAAGTTGCGCACGTTAAAGATCCCTTGATGGTTTAAAATCGATAAGAGTAGGCTTCGGCCGCCACCCGGACAAAATTCAAAATTTCCTACCTTCTGAAAAAGTTTAATGTGTCCCGCACGCTCATATGACCTTATGCAGTTGCGAGCGCCGTAAAACACTTACCAAAAACAAAAAACCCCCTAAAAACATCCATCGTCCTTATCTCTCCTCCTTTTTTTGTATGTTACTATCTTGTAACACCTAACCTGAACTTATACGACCTAATTGTGTTACAAGTGCTGTTAAACTCATAATAAATTCAAACTTAGAAAAATTGACGAGCGCCTGATTCCATCGGGTCGTGACACATAAATGATGCGAGGAAGGGCTAGTGTAATGCCTGCGGCGATGCAGAAAAAGGGGGAGTGACCCGTCTTCAAAATAAGCAGCAGAGTAAAACAAGATTATCCCCCTTGAGCACCAACCCGAATTTTGCTGATTGACCTTCAGAGAGTACATACATGTACATACTCTGCTTGACGCGCTAGGGCGATTGTAAACTGTAAACGGAAACGCGCCATCTAGATACCTATTATTCCAAATTATGAAGTCATATATCATATTCATTCGAACCTGCACCTGTGTTAAGACAATCACTTGTGCAAACGACCACTTCATCCCCCTTCCACACACACACACACCAACGCACACGCCAATCATTATGACTGCAATAATAACCCCCCCAAAAAAACAACAAACAAACAAAACAACAACAACAACAAAAACCAAACAAAACAAAAGCAAACAAAAAAAACCCAACAGAAAACAACAAAACAAAACGAACAAAAACAATACAAAAAAAAACAAAAACGAACAAGTAAAAACAAACATACCCCCCCAAAAAACAACAACAACAACACAGCACCTGATCAGTAAGTCTTTTACTGCGCACCCACATTAGGCTGCAATCTCTGTATATTTCTCCTTATAATGGACGCCTTCAGCTTGACTGATAAGGTGTACGCCACGGTACTCTCAGCTGGAGTTCAAATCCATAAAAGAGATGTTTGGGATTCAAAATTGTAAGAAAGTGCCACAGCTCCAATGCAGTGTGAGCTTGAATACGAAAAAGAAAACTTTGATGTCTTTGTATATATTGTATTTTTTTTTTCAACGAAAGGGACCGTAAACGATTTGTATCCTTTCGCTTCCTATCTTTTTTTTTTGTCGAATCCTTTCCTTCTTTAAAAAAAATTGTGTCTGTTGAGAAGAAAAGAAGAAAACAGCAAAAA